GATACTACGGTGTGTGCTACGTGCATGGTACGATGCAAGTATCACAAAATAACTTCGTAATCGTCACCTTCTTTTCCTCTTAATAAGAAAACTAGGATTAGTCATAGGTTTATTTTGAGGTTGATTACCTTTACGAACAGCATTTATTCATTTCCTTCTCGAACTCTTCTAACTGTTGTAAAAATCCGTGGTTAGGACTAATGATTCCGCGACATGCACGGACTAGATCTAAGGCGTCGCTTAATGTCATTTTGCGATACTTAATTAGGTAGGCGAGAATGATAGTAGGACTTCGCGAAACGCCCGCTAAACAATGCACCAATACTTTGCCACCGCGCTGAATTTCTGCATGTATCGCATCGGTAGCTCTGTGGAAAAAGCGCTTTATGTTTTCGTTTGAGATGTCGTCCGTTGCGAAACGTTGAAACCTCACGCCCGGGGCAGGCTTATTAGATAAGTCGCGAGTCATGTTAATCACTAGTGTAATGCCATACTTTCTCAACTTTCCTGTGTGAAAGTCATCGTGTCCACAAAGAAATAGGTTGTCCAACACTTGAGATACACCGGTCCATTGGTCTTGTCTTGGACCAGAAACGTTTGCGATGGGATCATCCTCCATGTCACAATCGCCATGTTACATCTGGCATGCTACACTTTACCACCAGTTGTTGGCCACGCTTTTAACTAATCGACAATTTCGACGATCCGCAGAACTGTCAATAGGAGTTACATCGCCACCAAGAACTTCGTCATTTGCAAGGACTTTTCTAGCTGCTGGGCTTTCTATACGACCCTCGTTTTCAATCTTCTTCTATATGGTTTTCCGCGTACGCCTCTCTCGTGGCCCGTTCATTTTGTTGTGGTCTGTTCAGCTCATAATGAGTCATAAGAGCGTACTACGCATCCAATTCAATGGCTTTGTCACTGCGCTTCGCTTTCGGTGGCCCATTTCCTGCGACGATAGCGCGTTAATTCAGGGTAATTTTTCTCGGATTAATTTGTGGACTATCTTGCAAACTCGTCGGTAAACTTCTCGACGCTATTTCTCTGTTGTTGCTATGGGTAAACAATAATGCTAGATTTTCTTTATTTTTTTTTTACTGATTTGTGCATGTTGCATACGTCGATGGCAAGGCCTAAATCACCTACCTCTGGTTTTTCCTTTCAGATTTTGGTCGCCCCCAACCATCCCGATAACATTCACTGTGGTCATTCACAATCAGTGTTCAAGGGGCCAGTCGTCTCAAGCAACAACGCTTATGACGACTGGCGATTTAATAATAATAAAAAGCAGCCAAAACTTAATTTAAATTACCAAAGCCTCAGATTGGCACGACAAGTACACTCATCGTGTATTGGTAATCATCATTTTTTTTTTTTAAATCTTTCATTTCTTCAGCGGTTCGTGTGTTTTTTTTCTATTTACATTCTATACACTCAGAATTATGTACGAACTCTGCGTACCCACCACCAGCATCAGAAATGATAACCGTCTTTCAGAATTATTGGCATCGGACTAAACTCTTCCGTGTATAATTGCAGTGTTTCATTTACTGAGGAGGGTAACTTACCGTGCGCTACCATTACGCAGATAGATTTTCTTTTTCATTTATTAAGCCAGGTCTTTTGGCAACACCCATATATGATACTCTGTACCGCAATATTTTAGTTAATTTCGTGGTAAGCTCATATAGTTCTTAATATATATACTTACGGCCCGTGGATCATCTCGAACTCTTCACGATGCCACTTGCGCGTTGATTGATAGCGTGGAAAAAAAAAGATCAACTCTGCATTAGGGACGAGATGCCTAACCACAAAGTATCTGGCTATTTTCTTCTCGACATTTTAGACAGTACAACGGCTCAACGTGTTACTACTTCGCCAATACTTCGCAGAAGTTCTTACACAGCAAATAACGATGCCAAATTAACAGAATTAGTTATTTACTTCGAAGCTAAATAGAGGGTGGAGGAAAACCAATGAACGCCCAATGTACCATAAGGAATTGGTATAATTAGGTATTAATCAATCTTAAAATTCAAAAACTGGTTGTTTACGAAGGGAGTAATTTGTGTCGGGCACTTTTCTGGGAATCCGCACAACTTGCCTAGGCATTTTTCATTACGAGCGTTGACAAATGTAACCGTGTGTTACTTAAAGGTGCTACTTTGTCAATCTCAAGAGAGTTAACGATTAATATTTGTTTATTTTTCGCTAACACTCAAAATTTTCTCATAAGGTCTAGTGATAAGTAGCGTAAGCCAGATAATCTTGAAGCGCTATACATTGTACTAGTTGCTAATTACAAGAAGCCGTAGTTGCTTGAAAGAACACACGGCAGGATGCTTATGCGCTGTGTACTAAACAACAATTCAAATCTTCCTTTAGGCTTCTCTAAAGTTTATGGTGAGTTTTTTTTTAATCCACAGTACATGGAATATGAGGCCACCAAATTCTAGTGGAACAAACATTTTGTCTATCGCGATAGATTGAAAGCTTGTCGCTAAAAGGTCCCCGAGTTACGCAGACCATGTTTACCGTAATGACAAAAAAGACACCAGTCCGGTAGGTAATCTACTGACTAAAACAACAGCGAAAAAGCTTCGCCACTTACGTTCCACGTGAAGTCAAGGGTCTCGACGGCATGAACTGATTCTTCCTCACGTAAGGATAATATGAGGATAGCAGTTTAAGGTATAGGACACCTCAGATGTTTGTCATAAGAGTTATCTGGTTTGGAGGACAAACCCTGCTCACCGACAATTCTTTTTCGGGTCCAATCTCGCTCGTGAAAGCAGTGACTGCTTGAAGAATTCTTCGATGGGTCCAGCGAGGCTACGCCGCTCATATACTTAATTGAAAGCATCACGCGGTAACAGATCGCGATGTTTGACGAGATAGGCTAGAAGGATGGCATAACTGCGCGAACCGTTTACCAAACGATGCAGCAGCACTTTGTCGCCTCGTCGAGGATCACGGCGACGGTGACATCGAGGTATGTTGCGTCTTGGTTCGTCATCAATTGGAAACGCGGGTGCCTCACTCTCTGAGCGGGTCTATTCCGCGCCATGTTAGCTACTAGTGTGATATCGCGTTTCAGTACTGCAGTATAAAAGTCATAGCATCCGCAAAGGAATGATCTGCCTGTTGTCTGGGGCATAGGGGCCCATGCACCCGGAAGTTGCATTTCAGAATAACAAAAGTTGTTTGTGCCAATGCGCGTGTGGTTAGCTTTTAAAAGGCGGCGGTTTATCTTTAAAAGCTGCGTCACTTTCACGAGCTTTTAGTTGTGCGTCTTCGACAAGATGAACCGTTTCTCGAATAGGCCTATTTCCTGTAGTTAATTGTATGCCTGTTTCTTCCAAAATTTTAGGCACATTTTCGCGGGCGTTGTAATCAAGTCATCACTGATGCAAACTACCTCATTTACAAACATTTTTTGTGATTTTCTGTTACTCGCTGCCTTTCGTCGTCCGTTCACGGAAGGGGTATGTTGGCCTTGGCACACTTTTGATCGACTCCTTCGTAAGTTATTCTGTCCGTTTGTCAAGCTGCGCTCTGGGTAGCACTCTCCCGCTAATCACCAACGTGACGTTTACGTACGCCATTCTAGCTCTTTGCTATATCTATATAGCAGTTTTTCGTGTTCCTATATTTCAGTTTGAGTGCAACATACAACCAAAGACTCTACATTGTTCGTCGTAGAATCATCCGTTATGCAGCCAGCGAGGCGGTTCTTGCCATCTCTAAAGTGTGGTCACTGTTATCTTCTAGACAATATTCTTCAGTTGTGTTGGCGAAGTAACGGAAGCCGCAATTCTGTCATGTTTTATAGACGCAGAATCGTATTGTTCAGCCCATTTTTAAATCTTGTTTTGCGTATCTTGTGCTCCCGTAAAACACTGTGACAGTTCTATATATCCTAAACCTAAGGCTACTTAGTGAGGCGACCTAGTTTCGAAACAGAACGTTTGCCGTCGCAGACAATGTTTAGCTACAGCAGTACGGAGCATAAATCTTGAACCCTAAATCCGCAACTACTTCTATTATATACGGCGTTTGTAAGGCCTTGCCCCGTATCGTTACACACTACAATATCAATTACACTCAGTCAATTAGCCTGGAAAGCACAAACCTCTGATTGGTTTACTTCTGCAAAATACTTGGTTGCACGTGATGAACATAGACAAATAGAGAAATATTTTGCCTTAAGTCTTTAATTCGTGTTTTTATTAATAGTAAATGTTCTTTTTTATTCAACTATGGTACCTAAAGTTTCGTTCGTAGTCGCGTTGGCTGTGGGGTGCACGTGCTCAACTTTGTCGACACACAGCCTCCAAGGTTCCCTTTGGCGTTTTCGATATTCTTTTCGCCCCCGTGGACTTCGACACGGAGCTAATTTGTAGATCGAACGCCCTTAGGACAACGGACAGGGTTCATTTGCATCCGATTTTTTAGACTAATTTGTCTGGCCAACAATAGACGCATAGGATTTGTTTGATTTTTTTGTTTAGTGTGAACATTCTTTGAATACATCGTATACCGATTCTCAACGTCTTAATATGTGCTAAATATGTTTGCTAAATATTATTATTAAAAAATTATAAAACTATATGTAGGTAGTTGAACAAGGAAGCCTAGGCATATATTGACTGACGCAAAATACTTGGAAATGTGAAATTTTTATTTTAATTATGATGAAGATATGAGCCACGTATTCCTGCTTATTTTAGCTCTTTTATTTAAGTCTCAATCAGGGCGGGAGAAATTGATAGAATATAAATTTCTTAGCTTACATAGATTCATAGCGAATAGCCATTTTAATATATATATATATATATATATATATATATATATATATATATATATATATAGTCCCCAAAGTACCCGGTCAATTTGGTTTCGCAACTTTTTTAACTTTCGTAACAAATGAAAAGTATATATATATATATATATATATATATATATATATAATGCTTTATAGATATCGGTTTTAGTGTGCAATGTAGTGTGATGTTGGCCCACCCTACAAGTATACTTCAACAGCATTGCACACTTTTCGGGGCATCTGTGGAGAGACGTTTCAGATTGGTATTATATCAAAATGACTGCATTATTATGAATGGAGGGTTCATTGAAGATTTGGCTGAAAAGGACAACAAAACGACACATTTTATACATCACTATAGTAGCACATTCCTAAAAAAAAAATAAAAAATAAAAATAAAAAAAGCTACTAATAGAATTTAATAATAATCACGTTAGTTAAGCTCCATAATGACATTGGCGCGGCGTTTCTTTATTATTATTAACCACATCCTGTTTACTGTATGACAACACAGAAAAAACTTCTCTATTAAGTAAAACCTACATTTACCTTAATACTTTTCAAGTAGTAAAATACTTCTCGTAAATAAATGTAAAATCAAAACCATTATCAAGAACCTATTCGTGCTTAATAGCAAACCTATAATAGTTCCTTTAAAATAACCCACACTTCAATATAATCCCTATCAATAATTTTATGGGTTTTTTTTTTTGGCATTTAGTTGGGATCGAACCCTGGCGTCGGCGCCTACGTAGAGTCTGATTGATCTTGTCGTCTGAATCGGCTCCTCTAGTTACCTAAGTAATGCAACCCATTCATTAGTACAAGTAGCCTCTGCTGGGATAGAGTTTGGGAGGAAAATGTTCGAAAAAATTTTCCATCTACTTTAACTATAGTACTAAATCACCATAACAGCGAAAATTATTCGAAATAACGATTTTCACGCTTCGCGGGACTTTCTTTACTCAGTTCATAAATATACACAGTAATGACCGATTGTCAAATGCCATAGTTTCTATTTTCTAATACTCAACTTCACAGCATTCAATCAATAACTTTCACCCGGAAGTCTCCGCCTCGGGAATAACGACCCCGTGGTCGATGTGCCCATGTTTAACCCATATGCAGCAAACACCACATCAATACTTTGCAAACATTATAGCGATAATTAATAACGCGAGACGTGGCAATCTATTCACAGTTAGACAGGATTTCTTGATGGGCTCACATGTCACTTCCCAGTTAACCCAAATCAGCGACTGCGGGGGTTACAGCCATTTATATAACATTGTACATCTAACTTTACTCTAGGAAAAACGGAACTTCATGAAAACTACGTTCTTTGGAGTTTCATAGTTGATCTTTTTAATCCTGAGTATTTGGATTATGATCCGCCAGATACCAACGGGACACAAATTTTGTTTATGGTGACACCTAAAGGGTTCATCAGCTAGAAGGTGTCCACACTGAGCAGCCCACATTTACCGAAAAGACAAAAAGGCCGTCATTCCGTTCGGCAATCTATTAGCTATTAATCGGAACAACGGCGAAAAGCTTTTAAAACAGTCACTTACGTTCCATACGAAACAAGAATCTCGATGACGGGCTCAGAAAACCGATTACGATATTGTCACATAAAACACAGCGTGAGGATAACGATCTAAAGTAGATGATACTTCATACTTTCGTTGCAATAAATATCTGGCATTGACCAGAGCTTTTTAGAGCGGACCATCCTCACCGATGGTTCTTCTCCGGGTCGAATCCGCCTCTCGAAATCGATCAACTGTTGGAAAAACCCTTTGTTCGGGCTGACGACACGGCGACGCCTCCGAACAAAATGAAAAGCGTCAAGCAGCGACATATTGCAATGTTTGACAAGATACGCGAGAACTATGCTGCAACTGCGCGAAACGCCAGCCAAACAGTGCACCAGTACCTTACCACCTCGCTTGATCTCGTTATGTATCCTATCGGCGGCGGCATCAAAGTACCGGCCGATGTTTTCCACTGTGGTATCATTGGCTGGGTAACGTTGATACGTCACCCCCTGGGCAAGTCTGTCAGGTAAGTCGCGTGTCGTGTTAACCACCAGTGTGATGCCGTGTTTTCTCAGCTTTTTGACATCGAAGTCATTGTAGCCACAAAGAAACAAGTTATCCATGATCTTCGACATGTTGTGCCACTTGAAGTTACCCATTTGACATTCGCAATCACTGTCGCTACTTACATCCACCTGGCTGTCCCCGTCGAGTTCCTCGACATTTTCCACTTTCTGCTTGTTGGTACTGTCTTCAACGGCTTGAAGTATTGTGCTAGGTGGCGCTTCATCTTCGACACTAATCGTAAAAGCTGGGTCGCTTCCAGAAACTTTAACTTCCGTCTCGCTCCTCCAGTTGACACCGTCTTCAGCGATAGGGTGCGTTGTATGGTCAGGCAACGGTTTTTCTGTAAAACGTGCATCATCACATGCAGGAGCATCTGGTGGTGCATTTTCTATAAAAGTCTTTTCTCGAATAGGCCTTCTTTCTAAGCTTGTCCTTTTTCCTCTCCCGAAGTCTGGGCGTCTTTTCGTTGGCGTCGTGATCAAGTCATCACTAATGGGAAATTTCTCATCAAAAAGCCACTTCGATGATTTGTTACTGCCCGTTGCCGTTTGTTGTACAGAGGGCATACGTTGGCTTGAACCCACTTTTGGCTGATTCCTTCGTGAACTTTTGTCCTGCCAATCCGTCAAAAAGCTGTTTCCCGGCTGCTCCCCGCCCGCAAACGTTTCAGGTTTGCTGACCGATATTGTGACATTTATATACGCCATTCTTTATGTCACGTGATGTAGCTTATTCAGATATCCATATACCAATTTTTCGTAATTATATATTTCAATTAGTGACCCGTACACAATGATACACTACGTTGTTTCCTCGCACCAGCGATCGACTAAGCTATTTTATAAAAAAATATATATATAGTAGCTATACTGGCGACGTGTCGAAAGTGGATGAAGATACAGCCAGCAAAACAATTGTGACCCATTTTTAGAACCGGGTCGGTATAGTCGTCTGCATAGGGAACCCTCTGTCCTATCGATGTAACGAAAGTTGTAGTTCTATGGTGATGTCCCTTCGCGTCCAGATCTTTATTACTTTATCTTTAAATCCAAAAAATAAGTGAGCAATCTATGCTTTAATATAACTACGACCAAGCGGAATGATACTAAACTATATGTATATCTAATAAACTTAAGACTACTCTTGTGAGGTGGTCTAGATACACTTTGCTTCTCGCTGGGAGCCAGTCGTCTGAGGCAACACTTAACTATGCACGTAAGTCTCGGAACGTATGTGCGGGACAATTTCCATTGAGCACTAGGTGTCTTAACTTGTAGCAATAATTACTTTCTATTAATTATCCTAGAACTAATGGGAATTAACTTCTGATCCTAACAGATTAACTTCTGATCTACATAAAAAAAGAATTTGCTGCATGAACAGCATCGGATACAGGAATTAATCATTTTGCGTCTTCAGTTGGTGTTTTCACTACTAGACATATCTCTGTTCACTTTTTCTTGCTTCTTTTTTACATAAAAAAACTATGGTGAGATCGACTTTTTTTTTTAAATACGTTAGATTGTTTGTTTATTGTGTGACACATGAAATACTCCAAAGTATAGTGTCTTTTTAAACTCTTATTCTTGAGAAACACATTGTTCTTGGCCAATCCTCGAACTAAAGTATCTCACAAGGTCTATGGAGACTCAGAGGCCGATCGATCACCGTCAGGTAAAACGTAGGAGCGGACTGAGCGTGAACGAAACTTATTGTTCTCTATCTAGCGGGTAAAACTACGTTACATGTCAATGAAAACAGTCATTAAGGAGACTGCTGTTAACTTGGGAAAAGCCAGTGGACGAAATCTATGTATTGTCAAATTTAACATAACATCGTCACAATTTTACGACGGAACGTACGGCGCTATTTACTTCACAAGGTCTTAAATTCGTTATTGGCAATCATATATGTATACATATCGCTACTGTCGAGGTTAGTGCGTACCGTTTGATTTTTTTCACTCGTTAAAAGATACCTGGAACAGTTTAGGCCCTTGTTAATAAACTTTCTTAAAAGGGACTATTTTAAAATAAATAGAAGAACGCGCAGAATACGAAATAGGCCCCTGTCTCCTCAATACGGCTGTCAAAATCACTAGGTACATTATTATAGGTAGGCTTGAGCAGAAAATAGAGACTGCCCAGACTTACAATAAGGCTTTCGTATAGGTAAGGGAACTCTCACGGCTATTAAGAGAGTAGCCAGACAGAGCGCACTAAGGGAGAAAGGAACAATACGCTCAAAACTTGAAGCTAAATTTTTCCTGATATTAATAGATATCAATTAATATAAACTAATAATATTAACAGTAATTCATATTAATAATTTCCTGATAACAATGGTTATTATCTAATTGTTCAGCATAACGAACTCAGGGATAACTAATACAATCTCTGGGGCAAAATGACATTTCGCAATACCTCAAGAGAATGATAGTGCCTTCACATCTAAAGGATGGAAGTCTCTAAGCTGGGGGTGTAAGTAAGAAAATTATAGCGGAAGTTTTATAGAGGTCGGTTCTGGGACTGATTTTGTGGACCCTCACCTATTATGAGGTATTTAATATGCCGAAGATGTCGAGCGACACATAGAGAATTGTCTAAACCCGACCTTTAACAATAGTCTACGTTGAAGAAGGACTGGATGATAAGGCGACTAAAGCACTCGCCGCCATGGTCAGCCGGACAAAGTTTGTTTCAAGTGGCATCGGAGAAAAGCAAGGTAATCTATCTAACGAAAATTTCAAACTAGCGCGAAGGCTCGAGAAAGTACGTCACGTGAGTCTGACGCAATACGTAAAATGCGTTCCACCTTTCAGAAGAAGTGGGTCCTGTTATGCATTCTACCGTTAAGGTATGGTTTCACCTGCCTGCGGGCAGTTGGGTGGGTTCCATACTCGGACCTATCAAATGAACCACGAAGGGAAACGGCTTCAGATATCCCGGTTGTGCATAACTACATTTAGACAAACCTCTATTAAAAAAAAATGGGCGAAAGCAATGCTACACAATAATTATTCTTCAACAAACTACAGACACGGGCAACTTACCATTCTAAATACGACTTGACGGACCGCTGAACGGCCCGGCCTCAGATGAAATGTCCGCTATAACAACAAAAATATCACTGCAATATTTGTCTGGGGTTAACAATCATGAGTAACCACTATGAAGGCTGTGTGGTGTGCGTGCTCATCCTTATAGACGCAAATAAACTATAGACGAAACAAGCCTGCGCTCAATTTGTTGGGTAAATTCATCAATTCAAGTAAATAAGCATAAATCCTAATTAACTCATTAGATACCAATTCAGTGCAACTGTCTACACATTTCAGATTGTTGTACACTAATTATGTTTTTAGGCAACGGCCCTGCTTGTGTTAACTGATCGAACTATTCGTGCCTCCACAGGCTACGGCCTAGACTAGATCATTTCTTCAATGTGTAGCAAGCAATGTTTTTTGGCAATTTCAATCGTTTGGTCAACAATCGATTTTTTTCGATACGGCTGACTAAAGATCCTGATGTCTTGAATCTAGTCCTTTGCTTAAATTAGAGAGGCACTGTGCAAAAAATGGCAAAGACAGCATCCTCGGCTGACCTCTGCTGTATCGGATGCTAGATCATCGGTACATAACTGACGAAAAAAAATTTCTAAATTTTCAGTCCGACGATGAAGTGGCACACTTCCTCTCCTCTCGAGAACGTCTTTGTCAGGGAGCCTTGCAACCGACGTTAAGCGCATACGGTTCATCAACGTCAGCACCGAAGTATCTTAGCGAACGAATTCAGAACGTCGTTCATAGAACGTTAGACTTTTTGTTTGAGATATATAGCTTCCTGTAGTGGCTGCATTTTTGGTTAAAAGAGGCAAAATCAGAGGCCGAGTCATCAGCTCAAGCCGATATATACATTAGATAACACGAACGTAGTCAAATAATTTCGGAACTCTATACAGAGTATTTAACCGTTACCACCGCAAAATACAGTGGAAACTATCTACTCTGCAAAAAAAATATTTCCGCAAGTATAAATTTTTGCTATTATTGTTATTATGGCTTAAATTTACTGTTCTTGACATAATTAAAATCATAATTTTAATAATAATTAAAATCAGTAGCCACATTTTTGTGTGCTGTTGACATCATATGTGCTAATTCTATTACATTAAACGTGTACTATTTCCCATTCAATGGAAAATGTAGATGCAATGTATGTATGTATGTAAATGCAAACACCTTACCCATTGCACAATTTTGGCAAGAAATATATAAGAATCTTGACAAATAGCAATTTACTGGACACAAGAACATAAGCACTTTATCCAGGTTGGGCTTTCCAAAGCCAAACCCAGTTAGTTATCCAGTCGGTCTCGTGATCTAGCCGGTCTCTTCGTATCTGCCCACGTATCCAGAACATACTCTTCGTATCATTGTTGTTTCTTTGCCATTAATTAAATTGCCGATAGATTTACTATTGGCGTTAACGGTAGCACTAATTTAAATCCATGTTGTCGATATAGTTAGTCATCGCCACGAAATCAAGCCAACAATTGAATGGATAACTTGATTTGTACTAAACCTCACAAGATACGCTCCGGGCTGCTAATCCCAGCATTTTCAACGAGAACAAAAAAAATTCAGCCACGACTTTAAAAAAAACTACCAACAAAAAAGACGATCAATCGAAAGCGACTAGGATTCCTGTGGACTAACACCACGGCATATCATTGATGTCCATTGTGGCACTAAATACGGCACAAGGCATAGACCTAATTCAACCAAAATGCCTGGCCCATGTGCTAAACCTCACGCTTAACAATACGTTTGCTACTACGGTGTTTTGTCAACCGCAGCAAACCGTCCAAGGGGACTTGGGGATTTTTCTGCTTCTTACGAAAAAATTCACTGAATGAACAAATGTTTCCATTATACGTTTTTTTTTTTTGTAATTTTATTATACACAGTACGACACAAAAAAACATAAAATCTTTTGATTTTTTCGAACGTTGCCATCGTAGATTATTGGAAATACAATTGTAGTATCTTTACAACGGGTTTATTTACACGTTGCGATGCATATTAATGAATGTATATAATGATAGAATCCGTATGATCTCATGATTTGTATTAAACATAAATAATTAGCTTAGAATGTGATAAAATGTTAACCCCACGCGATTCCTTAAAGACGCAATCGTTCGTTCAAGACACAAGAGAGGTTCTCGTTGGCAGACGAAAGCAGTCCATAGCGCGCTAATGTCGTCTAGTATTAATCCGAAGGAAGGTAGACATCAAATATTATGGAGAACTAAGTCTGCACCCGGGTACATCCGGCTACCTTACAGCTAGGCCTTTTAAAATGTAACTAATTACTGAATAACCAGAAGTAAGGTGCTAATATTTTTGATAGAAATGTCCTAGGCTTATTTGACAGCTTTCGATGGCCTTTTCCCGAGCGGGAAAAGTCAGTCTTCCTCCGAAAACTGAGGGTGCCATATTTGGATTTAGCCAACCAACTTTAAATAACCGATGAATTCAAGTGAACAACAAATGGTGTCCCAGTATTCGGGCAACATGGTAATTACGTGTCGGGCAATACAAATTTCTTCGAACAGAATATACGTGTAAGCCACTAGCGTGCTCTACGGCCGAACTATATGGAGTGGTAGGAACTATACATATATATATATATATGTATCTTCTTAATTTTATCTTTATTACCATTGTTATAATTACATTATGGCGGTCATAGAAAGTGGCTCCTAGAACATCCAAAATGAGCTTCGATAACTATAGTC